TGTACAAACAATATTACGCAAGTATAAACACCATGGGACCACGCAGCCATCATACCGCTCAGGAAGGAGACGCGTTCTGTCTCCTAGAGATGAACGTACTTTGGTGCAAATCAATCCCAGAACAACAGCAAAGGACCTTGTGAAGATGCTGGAGGAAACAGGTACAAAAGTATCTATATCCACAGTAAAACAAATCCTATATCGACATAACCTGAAAGGCCGCTCAGCAAGGAAGAAGCCACTGCTCCAAAACTGCCATAAAAAAGCCAGACGACAGTTTGCAACTGCACATGGGGACAAAGATTGTACTTTTTGGAGAGATATCCTCTGGTCTGATGAAACAAAATTAGAACTGTTTGGCCATAATGACCATTGTTATGTTTGGAGGAAAAAGGGGAAGACTTGCAAGCCGAAAAACACCATCCCAACCGTGAAGCACGGGGGTGGCAGCATCATGCTGTGGGGGTGCTTTGCTGCAGGAGGGACTGTTGCACTTCACAAAATAGATGGCATCATGAGGAAGGAAAATTAAATAGTTGAACAGCGCCGGAAGAAGATGGCTGCCGTTTTACAGCCCTCTAACCAATTGTACTATTATGTGTGTTTTTCCGCGTTATTTGTAATTTATTTTGTACATAATGTTTATGCCATCGTCTCTTATAACCAAAGAGAGCTTCTGGATATCAGGACAGCGATTACTCACCTCGCGTTGGACGAACACTTTTTCTTCAACGAGGCGTTCGCGAAGGATATACTACAGACTCCAGACAAGGCCCAGATCCCCGTCATTCGCGTGAGGAAGAGACGGAGATACCGTGGACGTAGGTCGGGGTGCCTTGTAAAGATCCGACGGCGAACGAGTAAACTGCCTCTCCCATCAATCCTATTAGCCAACGTTCAAGCTTTGGATAATAAAATGGACGATTTAAGATTACGGTTATCCTACCAACGGGACATTAAGAACTGTAATATCTTATGTTTCACGGAGTCGTGGCTGAATGACAACAATGACAACATTCAGCTAGCGGGCTATACGCTACATCGGCAGGACAGAACGGCAGACTCGGGTAAGACGAGGGGTGGCGGTCTCTGTATTTTTGTAAAACACCCGTGCTACCAGCTGAGCTACAGAGGACCACAAATACTAAGGAAGTCTCAAGGTTTTGCTCGCCTGAGGTAGAGTATCTTATGATAAGCTGTAGACCACACTATTTACCAAGAGAGTTTTCATCTATACTTTTCATAGCTGTCTATTTACCACCACAAACCAATGCTGGCATTAAGATTGCACTGAATGAGTTGTACAAGGCCATTAATCAACAGGAAAACGCTCATCCAGATGCAGCGCTCCTAGTAGCAGGGGACTTTAATGCAGGGAAACTTAAATCCGTTCTACCTCATTTCTACCAGCATGTTAAATGTGCAACCAGAGGGGAAAAAACTCTAGACCACCTTTACTCCACACACAGAGACGCATACAAAGCTCTCCCTCGCCCTCCATTTGGCAAATCTGACCATAACTCTATCCTCCTGATTCCTGCTTATAAGCAAAAACTGAAGCAGGAAGCACCAGTGACTCGGCTAATAAAAAAGTGGTCAGATGACGCAGATGCTAAGCTACAGGACTGTTTTGCTAGCACAGACTGGAACATGTTCAGGGATTCTTCAGACAGCATTGAGGAGTACACCACATCAGTCACTGGCTTCATCAATAAGTGCATCGATGATGTCGTCCCCACAGTGACCGTACGTACATACCCCAACCAGAAGCCATGGATTACAGGAAACATCCGCACTGAGCTAAAGGGTAGAGCTGCCGCTTTCAAGGAACGGGACTCTAACCCGGACGCTTATAAGAAATCCCGCTATGACCTCCGACGAACCATCAAACAGGCAAAGAGTCAATACAGGTCTAAGATTGAATCATACTACACTGGCTCTGACGCTCGTCGGATGTGGCAGGGCTTGAAAACTATTACAGACTACAAAGGGAAGCACAGCCGCGAGCTGCCCAGTGACACAAGCCTACCAGACGAGCTAAACCACTTCTATGCTCGCTTCGAGGCAAGCAACACTGAAGCATGCATGAGAGCACCAGCTGTTCCGGACGACTATGTGATCACGCTCTCCGTAGCCGATGTGAGTAAGACTTTTAAGCAGGTCAACATTCACAAGGCCGCAGGGCCAGACGGATTACCAGGACGTGTACTCCGAGCATGTGCTGACCAACTGGCAAGTGTCTTCACTGACATTTTCAACATGTCCCTGACTGAGTCTGTAATACCAACATGTTTCAAGCAGACCACCATAGTCCCCGTGCCCAAGAACTCTAAGATAACCTGCCTAAATGACTACCGACCCGTGGCACTGACGTCTGTAGCCATGAAGTGCTTTGAAAGACTGGTCATGGCTCACATCAACAGCATAATCCCAGAAACCCTAGACCCACTCCAATTTGCATACCGCCCCAACAGATCCACAGATGATGCAATCTCTATCGCACTCCACACTGCCCTTTCCCACCTGGACAAGAGGAACACCTACGTGAGAATGCTATTCATTGACTACAGCTCAGCATTCAACACCATAGTGCCCTCAAAGCTCATCACTAAGCTAAGGATCCTGGGACTAAACACCTCCCTCTGCAACTGGATCCTGGACTTCCTGACGGGCCGCCCCCAGGTGGTAAGGGTAGGTAACAACACATCTGCCACACTGATCCTCAACACGGGGGCCCCTCAGGGGTGCGTGCTCAGTCCCCTCCTGTACTCTCTGTTCACCCATGACTGCATGGCCAGGCACGACTCCAACACCATCATTAAGTTTGCCGACGACACAACAGTGGTAGGCCTGATCACCGACAACGATGAGACAGCCTATAGGGAGGAGGTCAGAGATCTGGCCGTGTGGTGCCAGGACAACAACCTCTCCCTCAACGTGACCAAGACAAAGGAGATGATTGTGGACTACAGGAAAAAAAAGAGGACTGAGCACGCCCCCATTCTCATCGACGGGGCTGTAGTGGAACAGGTTGAGAGCTTCAAGTTCCTTGGTGTCCACATCACCAACGAACTATCATGGTCCAAACACACCAAGACAGTCGTGAAGAGGGCACGACAAAGCCTATTCCCCCTCAGGAGACTAAAAAGATTTGGCATGGGTCCTCAGATCCTCAAAAAATTCTACAGCTGCACCATCGAGAGCATCCTGACTGGTTGCATCACCGCCTGGTATGGCAACTGCTTGGCCTCTGACCGCAAGGCACTACAGAGGGTAGTGCGTACGGCCCAGTACATCACTGGGGCAAAGCTCCCTGCCATCCAGGACCTCTATACCAGGCGGTGTCAGAGGAAGGCCCTCAAAATTGTCAAAGACTCCAGTCACCCTAGTCATAGACTGTTCTCTCTGCTACCGCACGGCAAGCGGTACCGGAGTGCCAAGTCTAGGTCCAAAAGACTTCTCAACAGCTTCTACCCCCAAGCCATAAGACTCCTGAACAGCTAATCATGGCTACCCGGACTATTTGCACTGCCCCCCCACCCCATCCTTTTTACGCTGCTGCTACTCTGTTAAGTATTTATGCATAGTCACTTTAACTCTACCCACATGTACATATTACCTCAACTAGCCGGTGCCCCCGCACATTGACTATGCAACGGTACCCCCCTGTATATATAGCCTCCCTACTGTCACTTTATTCTATTGTATATATAGCCTCCCTACTGTCACTTTATTTTTTACTTCTGCTCTTTTTTTCTCAACACTTTTTTGTTGTTGTTTTATTCTTACTTTTTTTGTTTAAAATAAATGCACTGTTGGTTAAGGGCTGTAAGTAAGCATTTCACTGTAATGTCTGCACCTGTTGTATTCGGCGCATGTGACCAATAAAATTTGATTTGATTTGATTTGATTTGAAATTATGTGGATATATTGAAGCAACATCTCAAGACATCAGTCAGGAAGTTAAAGCTTGGTCGCAAATGGGTCTTCCAAATGGACAATGACCCCAAGCATACTTCCAAAGTTGTGGCAAAATGGCTTAAGGACAACAAAGTCAAGGTATTGGAGTGGCCATCACAAAGCCCTGACCTCAATTCTATAGAACATTTGTGGGCAGAACTGAAAGAGCATGTGCGAGCAAGGAGGCCTACAAACCTGACTCAGTTACACCAGCTCTGTCAGGAGGAATGGGCCAAATTCACCAAACTTATTGTGGGAAGCTTGTGGAAGGCTACCCGAAACATTTGACCCAAGTTAAACAATTTACAGGCAATGCTACCAAATACTAATTGAGTGTATGTAAACTTCTGACCCATTGGGAATGTGATGAAAGAATTAAAAGCTGAAATAAATCATTTTCTCTACTATTATTCATTGTCATTGCATATGACATTTCACATTCTTAAAATAAAGTGGTGTTGATCCTAACTGACCTAAGACAGGGACTTTTCACTAGGATTAAATGTCAGGAATTGTGACAAACTGAGTTTAAATGTATTTGGTTAAGATGTATGTAAACTTCCGACTTCAACTGTGAATGGAAACAAGAGCTGAGCTCAATTTCAAGTCTCATAGCAAAGGGTCTGAATATATTCTGTATTTTATGTATAATAAATCTGCAAAAAAATTCTAAAAACCTGTTTTCACTTTGTCATTATTGTGTGTAGATTGTGTGTAGATTGATGAGGATTTTTGTTTGTTAATCCATTTTATAATAAGGATGTAACGTAACAAAATGTGGAAAAAGTCAAGGGGTCTGAATACTTTCCGAATGCACTGTATGGACTTAAAACAGTCTATACCAAAATTGTCTACTGATAATGATGATTGGTTGTATTTTGTCTGTGCTGTATCCTTAATCGTCTCATCAACATCTACCCTCCTTAGATTGTAAGAGGAAAACTGCTTATATGCCACGGCTACAAGTAAGTAAAACAGAATAACAGTGCTACACACACTCCTTTTTGAAACATTACTGACAGTTGCAACAGTCACCTGACATGCATGGCTCTTCCCCACAGGACAGCTCTTCCGAGAGCAACGTCGATCGCTGTGTGACCCAAGACCTCCAACATCCGTCCACTCAGGTAAAACAATATAGCAGTGCTACACATTCAAAACTTTACTGACAGCTCGCCCGAGAGCGACGTTGATCGCCGCATGACCCCAGCCCACCAGCATCCGTCCATTCAGGTAAAACAACATAGCAATTGAAATCGCATGAACTTAAAAGGTAGACTGACACCATTAAACAGTAGGGAATTGGTCACAGAAGGGACTTGAACATTTGTGGCGAAATGTAACTGCAATGATGACTTAGCCATCCTAGAAGTTAGCAGGTTTTCAGGTAAAATGGGAATGTAGTTCCTCAACAGGTCAGATATTTGGGGATGGTGTTTAAAATATCCACTATGCAATATATTTAATGCTGAGTGCCTAACAGAGACTCATACGGTCACATTTTCTAAAAACTTGGTATGGCTTGGCCAGGATCGAACACCCAACCTTCTGACTTCAAAACAGAAACTCTTACCACATGACTACAGGGTAGGCTCAATATATGGAAACAATACCAAAGTACAGGTTGATGACTGAGAGGTGCATGCTGTCAACAGTTTTTGTTGGCTGTCTTCTCCTCTGTTACATTATTCTCCTCCTGCATTTGTCTACTTCCTGTTCCACTGTCTGTTTCTTAGTGATCTGCCTTCCTTCATGTTAACAGTACGGCTATAAGCCTCCTTCTGACCTGGATATCTAATATAATATGCCATTTAGCAGACGCTTTTATCCAAACGACTTACAGTCATGTGTGCATACATTTTTATGTATGGGTGGTCCCGGGGATCAAACCCACTACCCTGGCGTTACAAGTGCCATGCTCTACCAATTGAGCTATAGAGGACCACATATCTGTTGTGCTTACAGGGAGACAACGCAGGTGGAGACAACACAGATGGACCAGGTAGGGACATCATAAATCAAGTCGGAGGACAAGGAGGGGGGGGGGAGAAAAGGCTAAATCTATCCAATCAAATTAATTAAATCAAATGTATTTATTTAAAGCCCTTGTTACATCAACAGATGTCACAAAGTGCTATACAGAAACCCAGCCTAAAACTCCAAACCGCAAGCAATGCAGATGTAGAAGCACGGTGGCTAGGAAAAACTCCCTAGAAAGAACCTAGGAAGAAACCTAGAGAGCCCTTTGTTGATGAGTGTGTCTCTTGAGAGTGACATGCCAGTTGAGAGGGACACCCACAAATGTACGTGTAAAGTTTACTATGCATTTGTGATTCCCCTGCTCGCTGCAAAGAACAGAATATCAAACAATTAAATGGTGAACATGGGTGCAACTGGTGCTATCACAAAGGAGAAGTGGTAGAAAAGGGCAATGTGTTCACTAGAGTGTATCTGCTTGAGGGTGAGGCAGAGCCACGCACAGACACTTAACACTGCATAGAGGTTGCCTTGGTGGTACAGTCAGGGAACATCATACAAGGTGTTAAGGGCCCATCTCCTTTAATGTGCATGATTGCAGGGTTTGCTTTTGATTACATGCACGGCATCTTACTTGGCATATGTCGGCAAATGACTACACTGTAGTTTGAGTCCAAATATCACCCTGAGTCCTGGTACATTGGAAGAGAAATATAGCGCATAAACAAAAGATTGCTTGCCATAAAACCACCTGTAAATGTGACAAGACCACCACGCTCAATTCATTTTGTTGACGTTGGCAGATGCACAATAAGAGACCTAGAGCCTGTGGGATTCTTAAAGAGATTGGCATTTCAAATTAGGTTCAATTAATCAAATGCACAGACATCCGTAGCACCTGTGTTTACCTGAAAGACATCCCAGGTGTACAAGGGAACTACATCTGTTTACAGCCCAACAAATGGTTGAACCACTTAACCACTTAACTTAACTGCATACAACCTCTTTTACATTGTATTTCTTTCTTTCTTTCTTTCTTTATTCAGAGTATGTATGAATGAAGGTGTTTCTTAAACTGGCAGCATGAACTATAATTGCATTATTACATTGACTGAAGTGTGGGCCTACTGAAACCATTATCAATTGTGTTGGTATCTATCAAATACAAATAGCATACACTATATTTATTGAATGTGGATATTGTCATTTATTACATTTCTCATCTGCTGAGTTGAAATGTCTGAAATTGCACTATAAGTCTCTTTACTCTGTTGTCACAACTTACTGTATCTCAAATCCTGTCGTTAATTTGAAATTGCCATATCCTGCAGGAATATCAAAATCCTGCAGGGTTCGGTCCTGCAGAATTCCTGCAGGAATTGTCATGTTTGTGCAGGATTTTCAACATTTCTGCAGGACAATTCATACTCCAGCATCAGGGACTTTTCCTGCAGGATTCCTGCAGGACACCTGCACAATTCCTTTACAAAAGGTTGAATTCCTGCAGGATTCCTGTAGGACTTTTTTGTAAGTGTCATCTCTGTGTAGGTGATATTGTGCAATTCGCCCTACATCGCTAACCCACATTTTATTGTATTCCACCTACTCCAATAACAAAAAGAACACCATTGATGTTCAGCCTTACCTTAAAAAAATATTTTCATACTCAAACTCAATTCCTTGAAAATGCTGCTCTATTTCTGCAGTTCATGCCCTCTGGGCTCCCGAGTGGCGCAGCGGTCTAAGGCACTGCATCTCAGTGCTTGAGGCGTCACTACAGACCCCCTGGTTCGATTCCAGGCTGTATCACAACCGGCCGTGATTGGGAGTCCCATAGGGCGGCGCACAATTGGCCCAGCGTCGTCTGGGTTTGGCCGGTGTATGCCGTCATTGTAAATAAGAATTTGTTCTTAACTGACTTGCCTAGTTAAATAAAGAATAAAAAAAATAAAAAATAAATGTGCAGTTCTCAACCACTGCTACAGTGACCTAGCCTATATAAATATTGTTTTTCAGAGTCAAACTCAGACACAAGACCCTGACAATCAATTCCTCAGCATAACTCCTTCTCTTCTTCTGCAGTGCCCCCTGATTCAGGTAACAGAACTTGGTCCAATCTTCACCAGTGTTACAGTGACCTACATAAGACCCCAATTAACAACAACAACGTATAGGCTCTGACCCAGAAACACACATCTAATGTGTTTGTCACCCAGATCACTGTGCAGAATTATAATTTCATTTTCCCTATTAAGTGGGCTTGACAGATGGGTCACCGCAGTACACGTTGTGGTGGAACTGAACCATTAACATTCTAATGTGTGTGGAATTGTTAGTAATTGGTGCAGCGCTATTTAGCTTTGTCATTACTGCAAACAACCTTATCAAATCAAATCAAATCAAATCAAATTTTATTGGCCACATGCGCCAAATACAACAGGTGCAGACATTACAGTGAAATGCTTACTTACAGCCCTTAACCAACAGTGCATTTATTTTTAATAAAAAAGTAAAATAAAACAACAACAAAAAAGTGTTGAGAAAGAAGAGCAGAAGTAAAATAAAATAACAGTAGGGAGGCTATATATACAGGGGAGGTACCGGTGCAGAGTCAATGTGCGGGGGCACCGGTTAGTTTAGGTAGTTGAAGTAATATGTACATGTGGGTACAGTTAAAGTGACTATGCATAAATAATTAACAGAGTAGCAGCAGCGTAAAAAGATGGGGTGGGGGGGCAGTGCAAATAGTCCGGGTAGCCATGATTAGCTGTTCAGGAGTCTTATGGCTTGGGGGTAGAAGCTGTTGAGAAGTCTTATGGACCTAGACTTGGCACTCCGGTACTGCTTGCCGTGCGGTAGCAGAGAGAACAGTCTATGACTAGGGTGGCTGGAGTCTTTGACAATTTTGAGGGCCTTCCTCTGACACCGCCTGGTATAGAGGTCCTGGATGGCAGGAAGCTTGGCCCCAGTGATGTACTGGGCCGTACGCACTACCCTCTGTAGTGCCTTGCGGTCGGAGGCCAAGCAGTTGCCATACCAGGCGGTGATGCAACCAGTCAGGATGCTCTCAATGGTGCAGCTGTAGAATTTGTTGAGGATCTGAGGACCCATTCCAAATCTTTTCAGTCTCCTGAGGGGGAATAGGCTTTGTTGTGCCCTCTTCACGACTATCTTGGTGTGTTTGGACCATGATAGTTCGTTGGTGATGTGGACACCAAGGAACTTGAAGCTCTCAACCTGTTCCACTACAGCCCCGTCGATGAGAATGGGGGCGTGCTCAGTCCTCTTTTTTTTTCCTGTAGTCCACAATCATCTCCTTTGTCTTGGTCACGTTGAGGGAGAGGTTGTTATCCTGGCACCACACAGCCATGTCTCTGACCTCCTCCCTATAGGCTGTCTCATCGTTGTCGGTGATCAGGCCTACCACTGTTGTGTCGTCGGCAAACTTAATGATGATGTTGGAGTCATGCCTGGCCATGCAGTCATGGGTGAACAGGTAGTACAGGAGGGGACTGAGCACGCACCCCTGAGGGGCCCCCGTGTTGAGGATCAGTGTGGCAGATGTGTTGTTACCTACCCTTACCACCTGGGGGCGGCCCATCAGGAAGTCCAGGATCCAGTTGCAGAGGGAGGTGTTTAGTCCCAGGATCCTTAGCTTAGTGATAAGCTTTGAGGGCACTATGGTGTTGAATGCTGAGCTGTAGTCAATGAATAGCATTCTCACGTAGGTGTTCCTCTTGTCCAGGTGGGAAAGGGCAGTGTGGAGTGCAATAGAGATTGCATCATCTGTGGATCTGTTGGGGCGGTATGCAAATTGGAGTGGGTCTAGGGTTTCTGGGATAATGGTGTTGATGTGAGCCATGACCAGCTTTTCAAAGCACTTCATGGCTACAGAAGTCAGTGCTACGGGTCGGTAGTCATTTAGGCAGGTTATCTTAGTGTCCTTGGGCACGGGGACTATGGTGGTCTGCTTGAAACATGTTGGTATTACAGACTCAGTCAGGGACATGTTGAAAATGTCAGTGAAGACACTTGCCAGTTGGTCAGCACATGCTCGGAGTACACGTCCTGGTAATCCGTCTGGCCCTGCGGCCTTGTGAATGTTGACCTGCTTAAAAGTCTTACTCACATCGGCTATGGAGAGCGTGATCACATAGTCATCCGGAACAGCTGGTGCTCTCATGCATGCTTCAGTGTTGCTTGCATCGAAGCGAGCATAGAAGTGGTTTAGCTCGTCTGGTAGGCTTGTTTCACTGGGAAGCTCGCGGCTGTGCTTCCCTTTGTAGTCTGTAATAGTTTTCAAGCCCTGCCACATCCGACGAGCGTCAGAGCCGGTGTAGTACGATTCAATCTTAGTCCTGTATTGACTCTTTGCCTTTTTGATGGTTCATCGGAGGGCATAGTGGGATTTCTTATAAGCGTCCGGGTTAGAGTCCCGCTCCTTGAAAACGGCTGTATGTGTAGAGCCATTGTCATATCACTGTTTAATAATTTTCATTTAATCATTTTCAGACTTAAATCCGCTGGTGTAACACGGATGTCAAGTACTTCAAGAAAGAGAGAATACAATAGAATCTGGACTAAATTGTCAAGGGAGAAAACCAACCTTAAGAAAAAAAGGGTAGAGAAGGAAGACATGGAAAGTGGATCTAGTCTCATCAGCCAGTCTGACACAAAGAGTGAAGATACCAGTTCTACTTAATCTGAGAGCAAAATTGAGTCAGATAGTGAAGTTGAGGCAGTGGAAGGTACTCCTCCAAGACTGCCAACACATGCTGACGAAGAGTCAGATGGTGAACTTCAGACAGTAGGTGGTACTCCTCCAAGACTGCCAACACACGCTGAGGAAGAGTCAGATGGTGAACATGAGGCAGTAGGTGGTACCATGCCAAGACTGCCATCACACAGTGACATAGATTCAGAGTCTGAAGCCAATGCTGGTTGTGCAATTCAGGAGACAACTGACTCTGACAATGATGATGTTGAAAAAGATTATACCTTCAGAGAGGACCTGACAACCTGGATAAGTGATTTCCAAGTGAAACACAATGCTGTTGATGCACTTCTGAAGATGCTGCAGTCTAATGGTTACCCAGATTTGCCTTCCACTGCTAGAACTCTCCTAGAAAATACCAATGTTTTTGTTGAAGTCAAGTCTAATGTGGAGTTGTCAGATTTAAAGTGAAGGTGGAGTTAGTGAAACATCTAAGCATCTATCCTTAATCTGTGGTTGGAGATATGAATGTTTTAGAAATATCCCTTAATCTGGATGGTCTCTCTTTGTTCAAAAGTACCAATATGTCGATATGGCCACTTTTGTTCTCCATCAATCTATCACCACCCACAATGTTTCCTCTGTCACTTGCAATGGCATCATCGAAACCAAGCTCCCTGGAATTCCTCAATGACACTTTGCTGGAGCTTAAAGAGTTGATGCAGACTGGCTTGAAGAGGGGAGACACAACACTGCAAGTGAAAGTTTGATCTGTAACATGTGATGCACCTGCAAAAGCCATGGTAAAATGCATAAAGATGTATTCTGGCTACTATGGCTGTGACCGGTGCACACAAAAAGGCAGGTATGATAGGAGGATGACGTACCCGTAGGTAAAAAACCTGTGTCTCAGAACTGACAAATCCTTTAGGGAATTGGTACAGCCAGAACATCACCATGAAGGGAAAACCTCTCCTTTTTGCATCCTCCCCATTGATATGGTGAAGTCATTCCCAATTGACTATATGCACCTTTGTTGCCTCGGAGTAACCCGGAAGCTCTTGATGATGTGGACTAGGGGAAAGACTGGGGCCAGGTTGTCGTTGGTGCAAGTCAAGGAGGTCAGTCAACGACTAAACCGACTAAAGGATTCAATTCCAGACTGCTTTGCTCGCAAACCACGGGGATTGGATGACCTTGACCGTTGGAAGGCCACATAATTCAGACAGTTTCTACTCTATACTGGGAAAGTAGTGCTGAGAAGAATCTTGTCTAAAGAACAGTATACACACTTCATGGCCTTCAGTGTGGCCATGTGCATTTTGGTTTCTCCTCAACTTTCTTCAATCCACAGTGCCTATGCTCATGCTTTACTGAACTTCTTTGTGGAGCAGGGAAGGATTTTGTATGGAGACACATTTCTAGTGTATAATGTTCACTCCATCCTACACCTCATTGCTGATGCTGAAGAACATGGCTGCCTTGACAACTGTAGTGCTTTCAAGTTTGAGAACTACTTGCAACAACTAAAGAAGATGGTCCGTTCAGGGAGGTGGCCAATTGTGCAAATCTGTAAAAGAGTGCAAGAACGCACAGTTAGAGCTTCTCCCGCCAACAGGTCATCAAAATGAGACGGCCAAACAATGCCTACATACTTAATGATAGGTCAAGCTGTGAGGTAGTGAGCCAAGAAGATGTCTCTGATAATTACCTCTGCAGCATCTGGAATCTTACATGCTGAGTCCTTGTGACTCAAGACTGTATTGGACTTTCTGCACCACTACGAGGAGCACACAAATGCATCTCATTGCAAAGAGCAGTCTTGTTAAGCAAGCTATTATACTTGAGGAGGACCATGGCACTCGTGTTGTGCTTACAATCTTGCACAGCCTGTAGTAAGCCCCATTTAGCTACAGTCAAGTTCACAAGCTGTATTAGTTTTGCAAACTATCTTGGCTGGTAAATCAAGAGACTGAACAGTGTGGAATTGGTGTTTTTGTTTTTCTGCACAGGGTACACAGCGTTATTATGTTGTACATTTTGTAAAAGAGAACACTGTTGAAGTTGTACCAGAGTAGTGGGTGGAGAAGAGAGATGGGGTGAGTTGATCAGTTAAATGGTTTACCCTTTTCAAGCAAAGAGATGGATAAATAGGTAACTTTAAACAGTGTCTCATATCTTGCAGGTCCAGTGTTGCTACTGGCCAAGAAATGCCAGCGGAACAATGATTAAGAGAGGAGACCGGTCTGACAAAATATTATGGGAGAAGTACAGAATTTCCATATTTTCATCCGCTGGTAAAATAATATTTTACTGTATCCATCCACTCCCATTTATATTGCAATGTATGTTTGGTTGTGTGGCTCTGGAGCAGGTTGCATCAGTTGAACATACTCCTTTACGTAAGGTTAGTTCCAACATAGAATATGTTCTAAGCCAGGCGTAACCTGTGTCACCACCTGGTTGTAAGTAATAGCTTTTGCTACGCCAGGGTGTAAAAACTAAGTGTAATGTGGGGTAGACGTATAGTATAAATCTATAACTAGTTTCCAAGGTAAGTGTTTCATGACTAGTCATGTCGCATCTTGCTCAATTTTCTAAATCATTATGTCGGGCATAGGTAGGCCCAACTTATCTCTTACGCCTTATTAGCGTTTAACTGGTGCAACCCACTCCTGGTCAGTAGAGTCAGTAACTTCCCCCTCTTAAGTACTATATGTATTTGCTGAAAGTATTACTATGTGAATTACAAATACTCAACACCCTGTTTTTCCAGTGTTAATAGGAAAGTATTTATGACTATGTTTATTGCAAGTACAGACAATTACTCTGTGGCAGAGCAACGAGCCAAACAGGGGGTTGACACCTCCAATGTTGAATCTGACAAGGAACCAGCGAAGAGGGCGGTGACTAAACCAATCAGATTCCGTGTACAGCCACCTGGTGAGGATTTCTTAACTACTCTTATTCCATTGTGTGTATTACATGCATCAGGAAGTAGATGAAATAAATGACAATTGTTTTGTATCGTGCTTCGTAAGATGATGATGGAAGTGAGGCACTCCAGAAAAAGACAAATGAACCCAGACAAGCCCAGCGTACAGTGCCCCAGCTTCCACCAGCCCCTTGTGGTAAGATCCTGCATTAGGCTACTAGGTCATTAAATGTATAATCAGCAAGTTGATGGTAAGTTTGACACACGTTCAAGTATGTGGGTGAAGAAAAGCTTACAGTTAATGCAAGTACTAGTCTTAAATTGAGACGGCAAGAAATCATAACCTAATGACAGTTGATATGACAAGAAATTACCACACACATCTGATCTTACATTTACGTTTTACATTTACGTCATTTAGCAGACGCTCTTATCCAGAGCGACTTACAAATTGCTGCATTCAACTTATGATAGCCAGTGGGACAACCCCTTTATTTTATATTTTTTTTATGGGGAGGGGGGATAGAAGGATTACTTTTCTACTATTCAAGGTATTCCTTAAAGAGGTAGGGTTTCAAGTGTCTCCGGAAGGTGGTCAGTGACTCCGCTGTCCTGGCGTCGTGGGGGAGCTTGTTCCACCATTGGGATGCCAGAGCAGCGAATAGCTTTGACTGGGCTGAGCGTGAACCGTGCTTCCATAGAGGTAGGGGGGCTAGCAGGCCAGAGGTGGATGAATGTAGTGCCCTTGTTTGGGTGTAGGGTCTGATCAGAGCCTGAAGGTAAGGAGGTGCCGTTCCCCTCACAACTCCGTGGGCAAGCACCATGGCCTTGTAGTAGATGCGAGCCTCAACTGGAAGCCAGTGGAGTGTGCGGAGGAGCGGGGTGACATGAGAGAACTTGGGAAGGTTGAAAACCAGACGGGCTGCAGCGTTCTGGATAAGTTGTAGGGGTTTAATGGCACAGGCAGAGAGCCCAGCCAACAGCGAGTTGCAGTAATCCAGACGGGAGATGACAAGTGCCTGGATTAGGACCTGTGCCGCTTTCTGTGTAAGGTAGAGTCATACTCTGCAAATGTTGTAGAGCATGAACCTGCAGGATCGGGTCACTGCTTTGATGTTAGCGGAGAACGACAGGGTGTTGTCCAGGGTCACGCCTAGGTTCTTTGCACTCTGGGAGGAGGACACAATGGAGTTGTCAACCGTGATGGCGAGATCATGGAGCTGGCAGCTCCGTCTTGTCGAGGTTCAGCTTGAGGTGGTGACGCGACATCCACACTGATATGTCTGCCAGACATGCAGAGATGCGATTCGCCACCTGGTTATCAGAAGGGGGAAAGGAGAAAATGAATTGTGTTTCGTCTGCGTAGCAATGATAGGAGAGACCATGTGAGGATATGACAGAGCCAAGTGACTTGTTGTATAGAGAGAATAGGAGAGGGCCTAGAACTGAGCCCTGGGGGACACCAGTGGTGAGAGCACGTGGTGCGGAGACAGATTCTCGCCACGCCACCTGGTAGGAGCGACCTGTCAGGTAGGACTCAATCCAAGAGTGAGCAACGCCGGAGATGCCCAACTCGGAGAGGGTGGAGAGGAGGATCTGATGGTTGACAGTATCAAAGGCAGCAGATAGGTCTAGAAGGATAAGAGCAGAGGAGAGAGAGTTAGCTTTAGCAGTGCGGAGAGCCTCCGTGACACAGAGAAGAGCAGTCTCAGTTGAATGACCAGTCTTGAAACCTGACTGGTTTGGATCAAGAAGGTCATTCTGAGAGAGATAGCAGGAGAGTTGGCTAGAGACGGCACGCTCAAGAGTTTTGGAGAGAAAGAAAGAAGGGATACTGGTCTGTAGTTGTTGACATCGGAGGGATCGAGTGTAGGTTTTTTGAGGAGGGGTGCAACTCTCGCTATCTTGACATACTTGATTATTAGTCACATTACCAAATTGTAACAGTTATTTTTTTAAATGTTATTAGCAACTTCAAGAGCCAGTGTTTTTGAAAAGACCCTACAAGGTACATCATGTTTCAAGTCTGATAAACGAGCCTACTTTCACAAAGTTCTGTTACCACCAACTGTATGGGATGAACAGGAAAATCTGTTACGTGTGTACTGTAAATGTGGTAACGGTTTGACATCTGTGATGTTCTCTGAAGTTGCAGATTGTGCCACCTCAAGCCAGAGCGACAGTAAGTGTCTGGTTGTAGTTTGTTAGGGTAAACAATTGAATTGTATGAAGTATTACAGTATAGCTTTACAAACCTTTCAATGCCACTCAATAGAATACAATTACCATCAAATTTTTGCATGTTAGGTTATTTAAAGTCTTATTACTACTGTTAGAACTTTCCAAATACTTGTGGTGCTGTGTATGGGTGAAACTTGTATTTACAACAGTAGTGAAATCACCCTATTCTTCTGGCGTAAAACCAGAAAAGTGTGAAAAGTGTGATGCCATGTTTGTAAATATCTGTATGTATTTGCCATCAAACTAAAAGCATTATTTAAAAAAAAAAAATATGCTTAGCATTTATTTTTGTTGGGATTCATTAACCTTCCCACGGAGCTCCTGACTGACATCCCATCACTTTGGGTTCTGTGCCAGTTTCAAAAGCATGCAAAGTATATCTTAATTTTTTTCCTTCTGTTTTCTCAGTTAGTCCAAGTGGCAGCCAGGAAGAAGCTGGCCAAGACAGAGCATCAGAATCAGGTTTCTTTAGCCATCAAGATATTGATCTCGAAATCGTAAATGTAGAAAGTTTAAATAACAGCATGATTTTTTACTTATATTTTAGACCAAGAGCTGCCATCCCTGCTTGATGAGCCTGTGGCTTCTGAGATGCCCGCTGGATACATTGAAGGTATATTATGCTAGCCTATATGTTACAAAATGTTGCTTCTCTTGTATTATCAACATCAATTCCAAATTGTATGGCTGTCAGCAGATATATGGTTATCAAAACTACTAATATATATGAGGGGTGGATATTTTGATCGAGGTATTGAGATGAGGATAATGGTGAAACTGGAGATGATCCGTACAGAGTTCAAGACTGCTCTGAACCAAGTTATGGAGGCCATAGAGGCCCGGCAGCCAAAGGAGTCGGAATCCTTGGGGCAACTTGAAATGCTACAAAACCCTGCAGAAACAAATGAGGAACTGAAGGATATCTGTGAAACACTTAAAGACTCCCACTATCGAAAGAAAATGGTAGGGATGGCCATTTAAAATGTATCTGTTTGTGAAATCTACATCAAGTATTTTAACAGCAATTGACAAAAATATGTTAGCTGTTGATCAAGAGCCCCTTGAATGCGTCCAGATTTGAGAGAAGATTGCAACCTGCAATATTTTTGAATCCAAATATCTTAATGTCAACGAAATGCAGTTGTCATATATGCCATATGCCTATATAGTGTTTGGATTGATTTCCCAATTAACACTTAACTTATCTTAAGAAGAAGCGATCAGCCCTCTGCCTGTTTTAGCAAGTAGTTAGTTTTAGCCCATGATTACATGATACACTACAAAAATGATTTCTCATTACTATCAATCAGAACTGTATGGCCAGCTGTTTTTGCTGAGGAACACACAAATGAATGGGATTTTTTAAAGTATATATATATATTTTTTTTATCAGATCCGATACCCGACCCTCTGCCGTGGCCTGGACCTGGGCTCAGGAATCAGACAAATGATGAGAAAAATTGGAACAGAGGAGCTGTGGACAGGCTACTCCTTGAAGGGCAGGAAGGGGAAGAGGGCCTTTAATGAGCTATCGATCTATGATGCTGTCACAAGTAAGTAAATGCACAAGTTTAGATCGTTATTTATTATTATTAAGTAGATAGTATTATTGGTCAAGTGATGGTAAGTCAAATATGTATTTATTAACATTTCAAATGAATTAAATCAGTAACAAGGCAGTTACAAACTAAATGTGATATCTTACCACCTGCTATGATCGGAGAGAGAGGACAAAGGAAAGGTGAAGGAGAGAGGTATTATGGCCAACACTGCCTATGAGGGACGAGAGGGACAATACCCAACCTATGTCTCAGCCAGCATAGGTGGAAAAGTAGTGAAATGACATGGGATGTACCATTTCAAATCTTTTTGACAACATAGGAGCATCCCTGAAAGCACACCCCAAGGCTACCTACCAAGAAGTAGATGACAAAATAGCAGACGCTCTCAAACATGCACCAGTTCGGCTCAAGAGTAAGAGAAAGGTATGATTAAAAAGAACACTTTATGATTTGTTTTACTTCACTTTAATCCAGTCGGTCAGTATAGGTAAATTATTGTGCTAGTACAAAAGGAATGTAGTAGGGAGTCGACGTTAAACCGGCATTTTGATCATTTGTTTATGGAAAATAATGACCAATTTGTGTTATTGTGACTTTCAGGAGCAGGTCGAGGAAGTGCCAGTGGATGAGGATGGAGCAGCAGCACCTGAATAAACATAACATAGTTATTCACTTTTAGCTTTAAGCAGTTTTACAGTTCTTGATTGGAGTGCAATGTTCATGTTTTTACTGACTTGTTATTTTGTGAGCTTATTGCTGTGATTTTGTTTACGAATCTATAGTGCTACAGTTTTAAGTAAAAAAAAAAAATTTAAGCGCTTATTTTCTGGATTTTTGCATATTTCATCAGTGGACACCTACCGTCAGGATACTGTGTATATGTTCAGGGTAGATTAAATGACGTGTCTAAAGGGGCCTCCCAAGTAGCGCTGTGGTCTAAGACACTGCATCGCAGTGCAAGCTGTGTTGCTGCAGATGCTGGTTCGATACCTGTCTGTATCGCAGCCAGCTTCGTCCGGGTTAAGGGAGGGTTTGGCCTCATGTACACCATAACGTCACTAAACGTGAAAGTACATTGAGAGCCCCACAGTAGTTACATGCTAGTAACTACTGGGAAGGTAACTTTCGTCAGTGGGTACATACAGTACCAATAAGGCATGTAACAGCACGTTCACGGAAGGTTCAAGGACATCTCTTATAACGTTATATAGCTGTTTAAAATCCTCCACATTTCTACGTCCTGAAAAGACTTTGGACGTACGTTTTATCAGTGGACACCACAGCTACGTAGAAGGCACGTTTCACAATAACGTTATCATGACTTATGTAGGGACTAAAATAACTTTGTGGTCACGTCCTGGAACTTAATTTTGTTAGCTGGGTGGGCAGTTTTGCACTTTTGGAATTATTCCCATTGGTTCCATTGTGCTGGGAAGGATAAAATGCACCTCAAGTATTTGAAAGAACAAATGTACATTTGAACCAGGTTTGCAGTACATGCAGTACATGAATATGAGCTGAGATTATCATGTTATGAAAAAGAGCTCAGAATCTACATTAAATAAATCACATAGGCCTATCAAATCAAATCAAATTTTATTTGCCACATGCGCCGAAGACAACAGGTGTAGACATTACAGTGAAATGCTTACTTACAAGCCCTTAACCAACAATCCAGTTTTAAGAAAAAAAGTGTTAAGTAAAAAATAAATAAATCATAAAAAAGCAGCAGTAAAAGAAAATAACAGTAGGGAGGCTATATACAGGGGGTACCGTTACAGAGTCAATGTGCGGGGGCACCGGTTAGTCGAGATAATTGAGGTAATATGTACATGTGGATAGAGTTAAAGTGACTATGCATAGATAATAAACAGAGTAGGAGCAGCGTAAAAGAGGGGGTGGGTGGGGGGGACATTGCAGATAGTCCGGGTAGCCATGATTAGCTGTTCAGGAGTCTTATGGCTTGGGGGTAGAAGCTGTTAAGAAGCCTTTTGGACCTAGACTTGGTGCTCCGGTACCGCTTGCCGTGCGGTAGCAGAGAGAACAGTCCATGACTAGGGTGGCTGGAGTCTTTGACAATTTTTAGGGCCGTCCTCTGACACCGCCTGGTATAGAGGTCCTGGATGGCAGGCAGCTTTGCCCCAGTGATGTACTGGGCCGTACGCACTGCCCTCTGTAGTGCCTTGCAGTCAGAGGCCGAGCAGTTGCCATACCAGGCAGTGATGCAACCAGTCAGGATGCTCTCGATGGTGCAGCTGTATAACTTTTTGAGGATCTGAGGACCCATGCCAAATCATTTCAGTCTCCTGAGGGGGAATAGGCTTTGTCGTGCCCTCTTCATGACTGTCTTGGTGTGTTTGGACCATGATAGTTTGTTGGTGATGTGGATACCAAGGAACTTGAAGCGCTCAACCTGTTCCACTAGAGGCCCGTCGATGAGAATGGGGGCGTGCTCAGTCCTCTTTTTTTCCTGTAGTCCACAATCATCTCCTTTGTCTTGATCACGTTGAGGGAGAGGTTGTTTACCTGGCACCACACAGCCAGGTCTCTGACCTCCTCCCTATAGGCTGTCTCATCATTGTCTGTGATCAGGCCTACCACTGTTGTGTCGTCGGCAAACTTAATGATGGTGTTGGAATCGTGCCTGGCCATGCAGTCATGGGTGAACAGGGAGTACAGAAGGGGACTGAGCACGCACCACTGAGGGGCCCCAGTGTTGAGGATCAGCGTGGCATATGTGTTGTTACCTACCCTTACCACCTGGAGGCGGCCCGTCAGGGAGTCCAGGATCCAGTTGCAGAAGGAGGTGTTTAGTCCCAGGGTCCTTAGCTTAGTGATGAGCTTTGAGGGCACTATGGTGTTGAACGCTGAGCTGTAGTCAATGAATAGCATTCTCACATAGGTGTACCTCTTGTCCAGGTGGGAAAGGGCAGTGTGGGGTGCAATAGACTTTGCATCAGCGTGATCACATAGTCTTCCGGAACAGCTGATGCTCTCATGCATGCTTCGGTGTTGCTTTCCTCGAAGCGAGCATAGAAGTGATTTAGCTCAACGGGTAGGCTCGTGTCACTGGGCAGCTCGCGGCTGTGCTTCCCTTTGTAGTCTGTAATATTTTGCAAGCCCTGCCACATCCGACGAGCGTCGGAGCCGGTGTGGTACGATTCAATCTTAGTCCTGTATTGACTCTTTGTCTGTTTGATGGTTCGTCAGAGGGCATAGTGGGATTTCTTATAACCGTCTGGGTTAGAGTCCCGCTCCTTGAAAGCGGCAGTTCTACCCTTTAGCTCAGTGCGGATGTTACCTGTCATCCATAACTTCTGGTTGGGGTCACTGTGGGGATGACGTCATCGATGCACTTACTGATGAAGCCAGTGACTGATGTGGTGTACTCCTCAATGCCATCGGAAGAATCCCGGAACATTTTCCAGTCTGTGCTAGCAAAACAGTCCCGTAGCTTAGCATATGCGTCATCTGACCACTTCCTTATTAACTGAGTCACTGGTGCTTCCTGCTTTAGTTTTTGCTTATGAGCAGGAATCAGGAGGATAGAATTATGGTCAGATTTTCCAAATGGAGGGCGAGGGATAGCTTTGTATGCGTCTCTGTGTGTGGAGTAAAGGTGGTCTAGAGTTTTTTATCCTCTGGTTGCACATTTAACATGCTGGTAGAAATTAGGTAGAACAGATTTAAGTTTCCCTGCATCTCATCACAAAATGTATCCAAATCGTCTGCCTGAATTACTGGATGTGAAAAGGTGTTTGCTGGAACACACACCTGCTTGTTGTTCCTGTCAGACCAGATCGGCTCAGTTCAATTAACAATGCCAGGAATGCTGTTACCCACACTCTTTTGGCATTTTCCTATACAGCCATCCATCCAACATACAGAGACAGATCAACACACAAAGTTTAGGGAAGTACTTCTTCTTTATTTTCACAAGAAAAATTAGAGAAACAGTTGCATTCATACATTCATACCAGCCGATTAGCTACTATACAGTGGTGTAAAGTACTTAAGTAAAAATACTTTAAACTACTACTTAAGTAGTTTTTTGGGGGTATCTGTACTTTACTATTTATATTTTTGACTACTTTTATTTTACTTTACTACATTCTAAAGAAAATAATGTACTTTTTAGTCCATACATTTTCCTTGACACCCAAAAGTACTCGTTACATTTTGAATGCTTAGCAGGACAGGAAAATGGTCAAATACACACACTTATCAAGAAAACATCCCTGGTCATCCCTACTGCATCTGATTTGGCGGACTCACTAAACACAAATGCTTCGTTTGTAAAATTACGTCTGAGTGTTTGTGTGCCCGTAGCTATCCGTAAATTAAAAAACATAAGAAATTGGTGACGTCTGGTTTGCTTAACATAAGGAATTTTAAATGATTTATAATTTCACTTTTGATACTTACGTGTATGTTAGCAATTACATTCACTTTTGATACTTAAGTATATTTAAAACCAAATACTTGTAGACTTTTACTTAAGTAGTATTTTACTGGGTGACTTTCACTTTTTACTTGAGTAATTTTCTATTAAGGTATCTTTACTTTACACAAAATACACAAGAATAAAGAACAGAATTACTAAGTCTCTGCATCTTCATCCTAATAGGAAAAAAACAAAGCAACAAATGTTTTTAATTGACTGACATCCCTAGCACTGGGCCAGTCATCTGACTGACAGGAGAGATGACCAGTGGGGCTATGTTTCTTTCACCATCAGGATATCCACAGTGGAAGTATGGATAGAGTTTCTCAGTGAATTTGTAGCCAGTGAAAGAGCAGATGTGAGATCTGGCAGTGACATCGACATCACAAATGGAGACCCGACCCTCCTCATAATCCACAAACACCCCCACCTTCTGGGGCTTCTTTTTCAGGTGCAGGAGTACTTTGG